CTCATGTCACCCAGCTCTTCTTTATAGCATTTCAATGAGAAGAGTTTGTTACATCTGTGTCAGAGGATGGCTAACACATAGAGAAGAGTTTGTTACGTCTGTGTTAGAGGATGGCTAACGCACAGAAGTCTCAGGAAAGCCCAGGAAATATAGTCAGATATTTCTCAATCCCAAAGTAAAATGTGTGTGTGAATGACTTTTTAAAATTTATTTTTATTTTATGTGTAAGGTTGCTTCGACTGCATGTTTGTGTGCGGTTCCTGCAGAGGCCAGAAGAGGGCACTAAATTCCCTGGAACTAGAGTTACAAGTGTTTGTGAGCTGTCATATGGGTTCTGGGAATTGAACATGGGTCCTCTGGAAGAACAGCCAGTGCTCTTAACTGCTGAGCCACATCTACAGCCTTTTTGTAATTTTTTTTTTTTTAATGTAGGAGTACCTTTGTGCCTGGGACAAGAGTACAAATAGTTGTCCACAAGCTTTGTGTTTAAATATGTAAATAATTTATCCAGGCCAAGTGATATGAACTTTGAATCCCAGCTACTTAGGTGGCCAACTAAAAAGATCCAAAGTTCAAGGCCAGGCCATGTAGTGAAACCTTGCTCTTTCACCCCTGCCTACCCCCAAAAGAGCTCAGTGATAGAGTGATTTCCTATCCTGTATATTTTAAATCTTCCGTTTAAAAATATAAATCATTTAAAGTAATAAATATTAATTTTTAATTTTCTCTATTTACACATATGTACTTCATAGTGGTCTAGAAGGGCTTATTCAAAGTTGGTGTTATAGTCCTCAGGCTCTTGTCCAGGATGTGGTAGAGAGAGGCAACTCTCAAACTAGGACCACCACGCAGGGGCTTGTGTATCAATAGTGAGGTCCAGGCATGGCAGGGAAATCCCAGGGAAAAAAAGTCTATGTGATCCCTAGAAGCAGGTTTGAGCTCTTTGTGCAGGAAATTTCTGGATACCTGGAGTATGATTCTCAGGGACCAGGGGTCTGGGACAGAGAAGGGTGGATGTTTCATATCATGAGGTACTTTCGGCATAGAAAGATCAGCATGGACCCTCTAAATCAGAAAGCACAGGGTAGAAACTACTCTTGCGTAGGTCTAAAGCTGTGGTTTTCCACCTGTGGGTGGCAATCCCTTTCCCTGGAGTTGCTTAAGACCATTGGTAAACATTTACATTATGATTAGTAACAATACCAAGATGAGTTAAATATCAATGAAAATAATTTTATGACTGGGGGTCACCACAATATGAGAAACTGTATTAAAGGGCCGCAGGATTAGGAAGATCGAGAACCAGTGGTCTAAAGTTAGTAATGTGATTTCTGTTTCACTAGTCTGCAAGCTCCATGGATGGACGGCCAGTGTTAGTGCATGTCCTTTGTGCCCAACACAATGACTGTGTAGTAGAGATTGATCAACTGTGTATAGTGGGCATACCAAGGGGATCGGTGAGAGAGGAGCAGGGAGACGGAAGAACAGAGGAGAATTAGAGGTGACCTCAAGAGCGGTGATGTGCACATCTGTAATGCCAGCACTCCAGGGGATGAGGCAGGAGGATGTGACTGTTGAGTAAGCCTGGGCTACATAGCAAAACCAAAATTAAAATTAGGAGTGAGAACTGGTCTTCCAGCATTCTAAAGTCAGTGTGCAGAGCACAGGGGTTGGGGTGGGTGACATCCTAGAATGTCACCTCTGTGGCCCCTTTTCCTTTTCTTTTGTCTTTCTTTTCTTCTCCTCCCCTCTACTTCTGTAGTTCAAGCTGGCCTCGAACTCACACGATATTCCAGCCTCAGCCTTGCCAGTTCTGTGTTTGGAGGCATGTGTAACCTAAATGTGCCTTTATTTATTTATTTATTTATTTATTTATTTATTTATTTATTTATATTTTCTGAGCGCTGGGGATTGAATGTTCTCTATCCCTGAGCACAGACAGCTCCATCTGTCTCATCCCTAGACCCTTTCTCAGATGTTCAGCCATCTTTAGTGCCATTATCTACTTCCTAGCCTCCAAGTCTTCCCTGTGGTGCTTGGGATGTTGGGTGTTTGGGTGTCCTGGGTCTCCACTAGTCAGCACAACTCTCCGCTGAGCCTAGCCACCACACCTCAACTCCTTTCCCCAGTGAGTGGAACCTGGCCTGAACTGGGAAGGGCTCAGCTTGCCTGAGCTTATCTGACCCGACTCCACTTCACCCCTTAGCAGCTTAGCTCTCCTACCTCTCCCCTGAGTCCTCCAGTAAACAAGAGGATCAGGATAGATAGGACAGCTGCCTGGAGGGGGCAAGTGTCTGGTTAGGTCAGAGCAGGCATGAAAGGGGCTACACTCAATGCTGCCAACCTTTCTCCTTTAGGGGAGTTCTAGGATCTCATTCCTGGTTCTTCACTGTAAAGCCACATTCCACCGGTATGGACAGTATGTACATATGTATGTAGGCTTCCTTGCTTTCAACATAGCTGTTTCCTTTTTGTGGCTGGTTCCTGGCCTTAAATTTTCTTCTTCTTCTAAGAAAACAAGCAACAGATCCTGGTGAAGAGGAACATTTCTACTTGAATAGTGACTCTATTTCATAAAAAGAGACCTAAGCATTGAGAGTGGTGATATCTGACCTAGGCCTTCTAATGTGTGTATAGAAAGCTTGGATTTTAAATTTCCTCCAAAGCTGGGCATGGTGGTGCATGCCTTTATTCCCTGCACTAGGAAGGCATAGGTAGGTGGATCTATGAGTTGGAGGGCAACCTGGTTTACAAAGCAAGTTCTAAGACAGCCACACAGAGAAACCCTGTTTTGAAAACCAAACCACGCAGGGCGGTGGTGGCGCACACCTTTAATCCCAGCACTTGGGAGGCAGAGGCAGGCGGATTTCTGAGTTCGAGGCCAGCCTGGTCTACAGAGTGAGTTCCAGGACAGCCAGGGCTATACAGAGAAACCCTGTCTCGAAAAACCAAAAACAAACAAACAAACAGACAAACAAAACCCGAACTGAACCGAACCAAACCAAACAATTGACCTCCAAAGGCTTGAGTTCAAAACTTGTCATTATTGGAAGGTGGTGAAATTTTTCAAGAGGTGGAGCCTTGTGGGAAGTCTTCTGGTCATTGTGTTTTCCCTGAGGAAGCAGAGGCCTATCCCCTCCCTGATCAACGGGTATACCCTTGAGGGAAGCAGGGGCCCTATCTACTTCCCTTTTCTTTCCTTTCCTTTCTTTTCCTTTCCTTTCTTTTCTTTTCTTTTTGTCCCAGTGATAAGGTGAGTAGCTTTAAGGTGTGTCTGTGCCAAGACAACTTGACTCACTGCAGGCAATAAATGATGGAGCCAACTGCTCACTGGCTAGGCTCTCCAAGGCAGTAAATCAAAGCAAAGTTCTTTCCGATTAAGTTGACTACTTCAGGTATTCACCGGGAGAGGTTGTGTTAGTGTTAGTCAGTTTTTGTTGTTGTGACAAAGGGCCTGAGAAAGATCAAAGGAGGAGACACTTCGTTTGGGCTAATGGTCTCAGTTTCAGTTTCAGTTGATTGTTGTGTGGTCCTATTGCTTTGGTCCAAAATCTAACATCATGATGGAAAATATATAGTTAAGCAAAGAGAGAAAAAGAGAGGAAGATGGGCAGCAGAGGCAGGAGAAGGAGGCATGGAGGGACATAGATAACATGCACCAATGAACTAAGGAGAAGATATACTATTCACAGGCATGTTTTTTCTAGTTAGGCCAATTCATACTGACAGCCAATTCAATATGCACTCTTCAGCTGATTAATTCATGGATAAGTTTAACTCTCTCATCTAATTGTATCTCAGTGGAAACTAGCCATTAAAAAATACCGAAACCATAGCAGTGATGGAAAACTAAGGTAGGGTGGGCACATACATGAGCGAGCACACACTCCGAGATAAGATAGGTTGAATGTAGGCATCTGTGGACCAGTGGATCTCAAACATTAGTGTGGGTCAGAACTGTTGGAAGGGCTTATTAAACCACACATGTCTGTACCCTTCCTACCGAGTTTCTGATTCTGTGAGTTTGAGGTAAAGCAACAGAATTTGTTTCTTCAAATTCTCAAGGGATGATTACTTAAGACTATGGAAGCCATAGTCCTAGCAGGCAGGGAAATCCCCTTTAATTTCTGGAGTTTCGTCTAGTACAGCCCCTATTTAAACAGCTTCAGGCAGGTTTAAACATCTCCTTGGCTAAGTCCTAGTATCCCTGCTCCAGCTCCTACAAGGGGGTGACAGCTCTAAGAGGCGTTAGGGGATTAGGCTGAAAATGTAGGTCACACCCCAGCCGGCTGAGAATGAGTGAGAGAGGAGGTGAGGTGAGAGGAAGCCAAGGGCTCATGAGGGCATTCACAGAAGTGTGGCTGGCTGTGGTGATTGGATTTCAGCTTCTTTTGGTCTCCCAAGCAAAGACCAGAGTTCGATTCTTGGCTTTTTCTGTTTCTTCTCTCAAGCTGGCTGCTTGTCTTCGGGACGGGCTATTAAGAGTGAGTTTCTTCATGGAAAAAGTTGCTTATCTTTCTAATACAGTGACTCTGTGAGGAATAAAGACCAGTCAGGGTGAAGGTGGGGCAGGGGCTGAAATATGAGGATACTTGAAAAGAAGAAGCAGCCCCAACACACTGGCTGAGGATGGGCTGGGAAAGTGTATGAGTCTCGCAGACATAGCGGGAGGCAATAGTCTTAAGAGGGATTCCTGGGAGTTTGTCTGGACCTTTACCAGCCCTAAGCTTTGAGTGACTGGGGCGAGAACTGTGTTCATATGGCGGGGTGGTGGTGTTTGGGGTCAACGTGACTCTCTATATTGGAAACCAAGCCCACACACACAAGCAAGACCACAGATAGGAAGCTTTTTTGGGGAAGATGTCATTTTCCTTTTTGGAGAACTGGTAGCACCAGCTTTCACTGTCTTCTGAGTCCCTGCCCCAGGCCAATGAGATATGCAAATAAGCCCTTTATCTCATTGGATGAGGCTTGAGGACCACAGATGTTCTCAGGGAACTAGTCCTTTAAGAGTCCTTTGGGCTCTGTGCCCACTGCCCCCTTGTTCTGAATACAGGAATGATACCAATCCCTGCTCTATGGAGTGTCTAGTCTCTGGGGAAGCTGTGCCTTTCTGGTTCTGACAGTGACTACGTCGTCTCTGCCATTCCTAAAGTGAGTATGTCTGGTGATCCTCGTGGGTGCTAGGCCTGCCATGCAGAGTCCCTCGCCCGATCCCTGCAGTTGGCTCTCTGCCGTATCTTGCCTTATCTTGTGTAGAATTCTCACTCTTCTGCACTCCTACTCAGGCTGCAATTGTATCAGAAAGATAAGCAATCTTCCCAGCTTAATAGTTTAGCATCTCCCAGTCTCTGTACACCTCCGCCAGTGTCTCATCATCTCTGCTTTTTGCCAAGGACTAGTTCCTTTTAGCATCCCCGTCCTCCCAGGGCTGAGTGGGTCTGCAGAAGACAACTCTCTGCTTGAAGAGGGAAATCTTGTCTACTCTTCTAACGTTCTGGTCAAAGTGTGGAAGTCTGAGATGTGGTCAAATTAAACAGGGACTCTTGAGGCACCTGAAGTTCAAGTGCTGGGGGATAAGACTCCCTGAACCTCTCCTTCTGGGGGTGGGCGTGTCTCTTGGCCTTGGGAACTGGGCCAGAGCTGGGACTGCCAGACTGTAAACTAGTGAGGTAAACTAGCTGGGGGCGAGCGTGTGCTCCTTGGCTGGAGAGAGAGTTCCTTAATATCGTAGATTTAGCGCACTCTGTTGAATGATGTTTGCTCAAGGGCTTCTTGGGGTAATATACTTTTGTGCTTGTGCCTCTGCAAAAGATGGGGTTAGTGAGGCAGCCTTCACTAAAATTATGAGTATAGACCTCTCCTTTTGGGGTACTTCTCAGAATTAGTCTTCCACAGAACACTCTTTGGGGGAGTTTTCAAAGCCCACAGTGAACAGAAGGATCAGATAGCCAAGACCATCTGCTCAGACTCACTTAACACGGCAGGTTCTAAATTAAAGGTGATCTGTGTTCACAGGTTCTCTGTGGAGAGATTGGCCTCAAGATGAGAGAGAGTGGCCACTGCTCCTGATCTTCCTAGAACCTTTCTTTTCCCATGGAAAGTCTCTTTAGAAGAGATTTGCCTATTGACTAACCCAGAGAACAAACGTGTAACTGATACCCTCTTGAAGGCTTTGAGAGATAAAGATAGCAGCACGATGTCCTTATATCCTAAAATTCACAGCATAGTGTCTTTCCATTGTCCTAACACACACACACACACACACACACACACACACACGACCACAGTTAATTAAGTACAAACTTTAATTGCTTGTAGATGGAACGGTGCCTCCAGAGATGACAGAGCTTCTCAGTGTGTCCCAGCACCAGGGTTGGGAGCACTACCATGTTGCTGTTGTTTTTTTATGAATCCCAGAGGCACCAAAGGGTGCTGTCGACACACCAAAGGCTGTGTTGTCATTTTGTCCTTCAGGCCTGTAGTTTCTTGTTGCCCATCAGGAGCTGCCTGAAAGTAGCTGTTCAGGGAAGAGGGGCTGCATCTTTAATCCTGGAATTCTAGAGCTCTAGTTTCAGGGCACTTGGGTCCCAGGGGAGGGGGTTATAGTGAAAGGCATGGGCAGGGATGGCAGGCAGCCTCTAAGTGTCCCACACACTCCCACTTTCTTGCAGGAACACCTCTCTCTGCTCAGTCCCAGCATGGCTCTCCCCCCCAGCCCCTTGGCTATGGAATATGTTAATGACTTTGATTTGATGAAGTTTGAAATAAAGCGGGAGCCTTCTGAAGGCCGATCTGGAGTCCCTACAGCCTCACTGGGCTCCACACCGTACAGCTCAGTGCCTCCTTCACCCACCTTCAGTGAGCCAGGCATGGTGGGCAGCGGTGAGGCCCCTAGGCCAGGCCTGGAGGAGCTATATTGGCTGGCTACCCTGCAGCAGCAGCTGGGGGCTGATGAGGTTCTGGGGCTGAGTCCTGACGAAGCTGTGGAGCTGCTGCAGAACCAGGGTCCAGTCTCTGCAGAAGGGCCTCATGGTTACTATTCAGGGAGCCCAGGGGAGACAGGAGCCCAGCATGTCCAGGTGAGTGACCAGGTTAGTCTGAGGGGAGGAAGACCTAAGGCCAGTCGAAAGAGGGAGGATAACTCCTGGAATGAATTATGGACTGGAAAGAGATAGAACAAGGTCCTTGAGAAAAATCAGAGAAACTAGATCGCTTTTTCAAAATGATGAGAAATGGTTGAATCATGGAGGACAGAGAGACAAGTTTCAGAGGAGGTCGAGAGTCGTGGTTCACAACTTTAATCCCAACATTTTGGGAGGCTGATGCAGCAAGGTTTCTGTGAATTCAGAGCTAGCCTTGTCTAAATAGTGTTCCGGGCCAGCCATGACTACATAGTGAGATCAGGTCAAAAAATAAACCAAAACAAAACATGATTCGAAGGGGCTAAGGGGGAAAAGGGTTTAGAATTTAAGAGTGTGGTGGTGGTAGGGGATGATGTCTATTTGTGGAAGCAGATAGATAAGCAATGTGTGGGACCTAGCTGGGTAAAGGCTGTGGTTGAGGACGGCTTTTTTCAAGGCTCCGTATTTTCCCCAGCGCCTAACCTTCTCAGATAGGATTGGGACTCATCCTATTAATTATAGACACAGATGGGGGTGTTGAGGGCTTTAGGATGTAATCCAAATCCTTGAGGGTCACCGGGTATGGTGTTCAGGACAAGGAAGCCTGTGTGGCAAGGGCGGGATCTGTCTGGGTGCGGGTCCCCAGGACACTGCAGACAACTGAAGGGTATGCAGCGTCCAGAGGCTTGATTGGTTCGCCAGAGAGGGGAGGGGCGGAGCCCACACTGCGACACTTGCAGAAGGACCAAGGGGCATGGGCACCTTGGGGAATTGGGGGTGGAGAATGGGGGTGGCAGCGTAGCCCCTTGGTCCAGGCGTGTCAGAACCTGGGGTGGGGGTCTGCAGGAAGAGAGAGCTTACAGCAGGTGAAGGTGGAGTCTGGTGGACTTTCTTAAGGGCTCCCTGACTGGCATGGGGACCTGAGTGTCTACCCGAGTGACACCGGCATCAACCTGGTCCCTGTACTCTTCCCTCCGCAGCTGCCCGAAAGATTTTCGGACGCGGCGCTGGTCTCGATGTCTGTGCGCGAGTTGAACCGGCAGCTGCGGGGCTGCGGGCGCGACGAGGCTCTGCGGCTGAAGCAGAGGCGCCGCACGCTCAAGAACCGCGGCTACGCGCAGGCTTGTCGCTCCAAGCGGCTGCAGCAGCGGCGCGGGCTGGAGGCCGAGCGCGCCCGCCTGGCCGCCCAGCTGGATGCTCTGCGGGCTGAGGTGGCCCGCCTGGCTCGCGAGCGCGACCTCTACAAGGCCCGCTGTGACCGGCTGACCTCCGGTGGTCCTGGGTCCGAAGACCACACACACCTCTTCCTTTGAGCCTCTAGGGCAGGGGGTGTGGCTGTTTGGAGGTGGCTGGGTAGATGGCACTATACAGGAAAGGGAGTCCACTAACCAAATCGCTACCTGTGGTCCTGTATGTCCATATAAATATCCCCAAACTTCTGACCCCTGTGGCATGCCAGAGGTTAGATCCTTTGCTGGAGATGAGTCCCCTTCCCTTTTGCAGGTTATGACTCTTCATGATTTAGTAGGGCACTGAATTCTGTAGGAGCTAGTGCCTGTTCTGAGGGTGGAGGCATGGAGGAAGGGCAGGTGGCATGCTGAATAGGAGGAAGAGGAGGAAGAGGAGGAAGAGGAGGAGGAGGAGGAGGAGGAGGAGTGGTGCAGCTCCCCTCTCGGTGTAGTTCTTAATTCAAGGTTTTCAACCTGTAATGCGTTGATGCTGTAATTAACAATGAAGCTTTGGACTCCCCATTTTACAACTATTGGATTGTCAAGATTTCAATTCCCCTAAACAAGCAGTAATAGGTCAACTCAAAATGCTTTTCTCGGCTCAACCCAGTGGCCTTTAGAGTCCAAAGCAGCAGAATAGTGCCCTGGATGGGAGCCTGGCGACCTGGGCACTAGTCTCAACTGTGTCACAGGCTGTATGTCGGTCACCTTAAGCAAAGCAATTGCCATAAGGTTTCTCTCATTTGGACTGGATGACCTCTGACACTGTTTTAGTTTTGGCAGGTCTAATGGTCTCCTCAAGAGGGCCCAAGAGGACTGTACCAAAGGGACATCCTGTTCTGTCTCAGCTTCTTGGCTGTAGCTTAGGCAATAGATAGGTACACAGCATGGCTGCTCTGGGAGTCCTAACTTGCACTGGCTCTAAGGGCCCCCTCTAGGCTTCCTTGGCCTTCAGACTGCATAGGGTGCCCTTGCTACCGCCTGCCTCACAGCTAAAGTGAGTGAGACCTTACAGGATAACCGGGGGCCAAGAGACTGTGGCTTTTGTGAATTAAACCTGAAGTCTAAGAAAAACTGTTATTGGCTAAGTGTTCTTGCAATTTAAAAAGAGGTAATTCTATATCACTGCTTTGGATAACTGTTTTGTGTGTTTGCTGTGTGAGAGAAAGAAAAGGGAATAAGGGAGGGAGAGGAAGGGGAAGAAGGTTTTTTTTGGGGGGGTCCTGCTGTTGTAGCTCAGCGGTAGATTGCTTGCCTAATCTTTGCAGAGAGACCCTTTTTGGAGCCGAGCAGTGTATATCTCAGTTCTAGAAGGCCAATGAAAGTGAATTGGAGGAGGTGGAGGAATGGTCCAGATGGAGCCTCACCACCCACCACCACCACTACCACAACCAAAACCCAGGAGCAGCAGTGACCCTAGCTAGGCCTGTCTGTAGCTGTCCTCCAGGTCTCACAGTTGCCATGGTAACCCAGCCCTCCAGTTCAGCAACATATGGGGAGGGCCTTTGGGCAGAGCAGAAGCTTTGAGCTGGGAGTATCCACCTCATCAGCCACTGTCATCTGTCCTCTAAGGGGCATAATCAACGGGAGATGCAGGCCTGTGTGGGGGAAGTGGCTCCCATATGTCTTTCTTCCTTTCTGCACCCACTCCCCACCCCCTGACCAGCTGTCTCTTCTCTTCCCATCACATTTCTTGTTCCCTCTTTCTCCACCCCCCCCCCCCAGCCTAGCTCACCCTTCTCTCAGGAGATGGAAACAGGAGTCCTTTCCTCCAGCCCCCACACTTTCCTCTCTCTTTCCTGCCTTTGCCCAGCGGTCTTTCTCTCTGCTGTGAGTTCTTCTCTAATGAGAACCTACAGAGTCTTCCTCTCTTACTTTCATCACTGAAGGGGAAGGCTGGGGCAGAGGGAGCCCACCCGGGACCTCAGCTGGGCAGAGGGAGCCCACCCGGGACCTCAGCTGGGCAGAGGGAGCCCACCCATGACCTCAGCTGGGCAGAGGGAGCCCACCCGTGACCTCAGCTGGGCAGAGGGAGCCCACCCGTGACCTCAGCTGGGCAGAGGGAGCCCATCCGGGACCTCAGCTCTTCTTCCTTACTCTGTGTCCTTTCTTCTTTTCTACTCCGTAGCCCAGGCTAGCCTCAAACTCAGGATCTTTTTTCTGTGACGGGGCCCCACTGTATATTCCTCGCTGGTCTGGAACTCACTTGTAGAGCAGGCTGGCCTTGAACTCATAGAGATCTAGCTATCTCTGCCTTGTGTGCCAGGATTAAAGGTGTACATTGCCACCACGCCTGGCCATTCTTTCACTTTATGAGTGCTGGGGTCACAAGCATGTGGCACAAATGTCCTCTTTTCTCTCACTCTGAATTTCTGTCGTGTCCTCCTCTGTCCTTCAGAGCTGCAATCCGGACCCATTGATTCTCTCGCATCCCTTTCTTATGTGCATGGCACACAACAGCAGAGACACCTATCCTCATTCATAAGAGTGCCCACGTGGACTTCCTGAAGCCTCAGGCCGCACACGTGGAAGGTCGGGTGCATGAAGACTCACCCAGAAAAATCAGGCCTTCCAGACCTGATACCCTCTCTGTGCTCCTAACTCATTAGAGGATCTGTTGCACCCCTTCACTTCCCCACAGTCTCTTCATGGCTTGTCCCACAGCTGTGTGGGGGCTGGGGCTCAGCCCCTGGGATACTCAGCAGGGCCTCTCTGGAGACAGCTCTAAGAAAGCATCAGCCTGCCCTCTTGACAGCCCCTCATTACCCTCCCCCATCTCCTGCCATTAACACACATGGTGTTTAGACCCCCTGGGCTTGGGAGGTGAGGGTAGGGCCCTAGATCCACTGGCACACAGTTGGGGTGAGGATGCAGAGACAATAGCCTGCTGGGGAGGTGTGGCTCAGATCTGGAAAGAGGTTGGCCTCCACTTTCTATGGTGTATGTGGGAGTGATGGACTGTCCAATGGACATCTGAGGCATGATGGGTAGAGGCTGGAGTACTTGGGGAGTTCCCTTTATTTACATCCATAAAGTCACAATCACTGGAGGAAGTTATTGAGGGTCCCCAGAGTCGAGGGTCATTGGGCTTGGAGAGATGGGAACAGGGCCCATCACTCACTTCCGGGGACCCGCAGGGCACCACTGGTCCAAAAGGCAGAGACACTGGTCACTGGTATCACAAGGGTCAGCACAGGCACCTGAGAGGAGTAGGACAGTAAACCACCACCACCACCATTACACAAGCCAAGATGGGTTATGCTGCTTTAAACAGCGTTTGTGTCCACCCCTTTGGTCCCCCAGAACTCACTGAGAGACTGAGGGGTGTTGGTTGTGTTGAGAGGCAGTCATGGGCTAGGGCTGGGTGTCACAGCTGGCGTGGAGGGCCTAGGAGCCCCAGGACTGATACCTTGGCTGGCATAGTACTCTACCACCTGCCGTGGCACCTCTGCCAGGACACACTTAGCTAGTGCAGAGGGGGCAGCCTGGGAAGGAAAGGAGATTGGTCAGGAGCAAGAGACTGGGGTCAGCTGGGTCAGCTGAGTAAGCGGTGGGACTTCAGAGGGCATGCTGGATTCCAGTGACTTTTGGAGGACATGAAGAGGATAAGAAAGACAGATTTGGGGGCCACAAGTTGTTGAGAAGCCCTGGGAAAGACTACCAAATACTCACATCCTTGAAGTCCCTGAAGGGCACAAACTGGACAATGTCACGGGCTGCAGGTACCCCCTTTGGGCAACGCAAGGGACCATCATCTCCGTCCAGTAGCCGCATGTCAGAGAAGTCAGCGTTGCCCACGCCCACGATGATGATGGACATGGGCAGACGGGAGGCTCGAACAATGGCTGTTCGGGTCTCAGCCATGTCACTCACCACGCCATCAGTGAGCACCAGCAGTACTGAATACTTCTAAAGGCAAGCAGAGGGGGAACAAGGGTTGCTTCTGTATAAAAGGGCATTGACAGTCTTTCCGAACCCAGGTCCTGACCCTGGCACCATCTGAAGACATACAGGGCGGTCCCTGGTTTTCTGTGTTTTCTCCTCACCGTGGCTTGACCGGTGCTCTGCTCCCGCTGGGCTGGCTCAGCCACACGGTTGATGATGGGGGCCACGTTGGTAGGACCATAGAGCTGGATCTGAGGCAAGCAGCGACGGTAGGAGGCTATGACCCCTGAGATCTCTGTGGGCACAGAGAAGAGATGAAGCTGGCAGAGAACACTCCAGACACAGCAGAATGGTAATTCCTGTTCTAGGCTTGATAGCTCCCAGCTCCTCACTAAGCGGAAGAGTGAGAGTCAGATGGTCCCTGGGGCTGGGAGAAGTAAGTGGGCTGGGTCACAGGGCTGGAACTCTTTCCAAATGAGGGACAGGGCAGGGAGCTGGATACATGGGAGCAGAGTCTGTGGTCCTGCTGGAGATATCTGAGTGCCTGCGGGGTGCAGGTTGGTGAGACTCTCTCAGCTTACCTTCACATTCAGGATTTTCTGGGTCAAAGTTGATAGCAAAGTCATGGGAGACCTGTCAGAGAAAGGGAACAGTGAAGGGGTGTCTCCTCCACATCTCCCCTGCAGGCCTTCTGTCTCTTGTACCCAGCCTACCTCAAAGTTTGGTGGGATTCGAGCTCCGAAGCCAAAAGCTGGGAACCGCTTGTCACTGGAGAGAAGAAAAGGCTATGGAACTCCCAGGGCAAGGCCTCCCTTCCAGACCCTACTCCCACCCCATACCTGTCATAGTCCTGGCAGATGCCTCCCACTGTGCGCAAGGCCTGCAGGTAGTGGTTGGGCTGTCGGGGGCTGAGGCAGTGCAGAGATTGGCTGCTCCTCGGGTCCCCATTGGAGGCAGTGAAGTCAATAGCCACCTGGGTGAAGGTCAGAGGTAGAGGATGTGGAAAGGACCAAGGTGAGTGTGGGGCAGCCCATAGGTGACCTCACAGTGGGGTAGGGTGTTGGACATAAGGTTCACGGGATGCCAGTTAAGAGCAGTGAGACTCCGGCTTCCTTCAGTTTGCGTGGACTTAGCCCCTCCCTTTTTCTTGTGCCCCCCCCCCCCCCATCCTTACCGTGAAGCTGATCTGGCAGCCACCCATGATGTAATCCAGGAAGGTATGTACTTTTTCCACCTGGCAGATGGGAAAAGATAAGGAGGCAAGTGAGACAATGCTTTCAGGTGGGAGCCTTGGCAAGGCTTCAGCGGGGAAACGGGAGAGTTTTAAAGGTTGCTGCTGAAGATTCGAGGGAGCAAGGGCTTACAATTCCCAGAGCAGGTCTTTAAAGCAAGGGAAGGGAAGGACGGACAGACAGACAGTCACACACACACACACACACACACACACACACACACATATATACACACATACACACACACATACATACATACACACACACACATATACACACATACACACACACACACACACACTGGAGAAATCAATAAGTGTAAAAGATAAATGGCTGGAGATGTGGCTCAGTGGGTAAAGGGGCTTATTGCCAAGCCTGAAGCCCTGAGTTTGATCCCTGGAACCAATATGGTGGAAGGAGAAGACCGACTCCCAAAAGTTGTTCTCTGACCTCCACATGTGCTCTGTGGCACTGGGTCCTCCCAAGTGCACCCCCCAATAAATAAATATAAATTTTTAAAAATTAGAAACAAGGAAGCAAGGGGCTGTGGTTGTGGTTGGGCAGGGGCAGAGACGTCTGAGCTGTGAACTGTGACTTACGGTGCACTGGGCCAGCACGACCGTCCCTGAGCTCTTGTAATTCTTCTTCTTGTCTCGGTACTTGGGGTTGATGCAATCCCACTGCATCTAGACATGCCCCCACACAGAGTCAGCCGTTCATCAGATAGACCTCCTCACCCTTTCCTGCCGATGCTCCCAAGGGAAGACCCTCATGACCCCGTCCTTCTGCCAAGCCTGGGTATTTTCACCCTTTTTATCTCCAGTCACCTAGAGTGAGGTGGTTGGCACTCCCCCCTCAGGATTTCCCCTGGGGTCCTGGGGTTAGGATGGGGTCTCTGGCACCTCCTGCCCAGGGTTTGCGGTCCCTTCCTGCATTTCCTGGAATGAGCTGGTGAACTCGCCGATGAAGTCATGCTTTCCACTGGAGTCGTAGTCATATACCAGGAACTAAAGGGAGAGGTGAGGCGTGGGCCAGGGTTAGAGATGCTTTCTCTGTAGGGTTTCCAAAGCATCCGACAGGGCAGTAGAGACCTCACAGTGTATAGGCCCCAATAGAAGTCCTTAACCTATCCAGAAGCCACCTGCTAAACTTTACTCTCTAGCTCAATCTGGTAGAGAGTTTGCCCCCAGATAAAGATACCTCTGTGGGATGCTTAACACAGAGCTGTGAGCTGTTATTTATCCCACAGAGACAAGTGCTTATCACATGAGGGATAGGGAGGAGGCTTGCTGTACCCTGGGGAAGGTCTCAGACAGCAGACAGGATGCTCCAAGGGGCTTTACCTTGAGCGGCCTGTGGATGTCACAGCTGCACAGAGAGTGCAAGGACAGGCGGAATGGCTCCCAACTGGGGTTCAGGTTGTTTTTCACCACCTTTGAGAGGCACGAGGGACCTTGTCACCAACTGTCTAGGGTTTTTACTATAAGCTGT